TAAGATGGCTAATAGATTTATTCCTAATGATTACTTTCATAATATTCAACCAAAGACATTTGATGCTTGAGTTATGGTAGTAAATGAACATTCATCTAGACATAGAGCTTGTTTAGAATCGTATCTAGGCCTAAGGTAGACAGTTTAATTGATCGCTTGCCATCCTTAGATCGAAACTTGATCACCCAAGGTCAAATTCCCTATACCCATGAGTTCTCCTTTATCTTCTTTGTCAAAGTTATATCTTTTATTGCATTCTAGTTTTAGTTAACCTTAAAAACCAGTCAATCACATGATCGCACTTAGATTAAACTAGTACTTGTATTCTTGGTGCTTTTAAATCCCTCAGAACTGGTTCGACAATCTTCTATACTACAACATTTGTTTTAGGAGCCTAAAAAACTCCTAATATCAATTTCAAACTAAATAATGATGTATTTTGGTATAAAATTGAATAAACTGAAAACCAATATATAAACCAAATCAAACTGAAGTAAATATGGATTTAGAATAGCAGTTATATTTTAATAACCAAAATACCGAAACCCGATATCCAAACTGAACATCCTTAATCTAGATGAAACCGAACTTTTGTTTCATTTTCCAAAACATAATAAAAATAATAACTTCATCCTGCGCAAGGCGCGGGTCTTATCCTAGTTATTTTATAAACACGAACTTTGAACAAATTTCCAAAAAAAAACACGAACTTTTGTGCAAATTTCCAAAAGAAATCTGTACTCGACCCTGGCCAAAAAAATACTATATTTTGTTAACTTTTTAATTTTATTAAGAAACTTTTGATTGACTGACCAATTTAACACACCGTTAATTCGCAGTTTAGAAAGTGTTAAATTGCCGTTAAATCATGCCATTAAGTGAAACAACGTCGTTTTACATGGTTCGAAAATAAAAAAAACGTAGACCCCTAGATTTGAACCCAATTGGCTAAGACAAATGAGATGGTATTTTACCACTTGGCTAGTGTTACTTTCATTATATTCACTAATATATTTTCTTTTATTGAGTACTAATTGAATATAAAATATCTCTAATAAACTTAAAAATACCTTTAAAATTACAAAAATTGAAAATAAAGATTATTTTATAAAATTAATTTTAATATTAAAATTAAAAACAAAATTTCAATTTTTTTTTCTTTTTAAAAAATTAAAAATCTTTAAAAATTTTCAAGAAAGTTTAATTTTAAATTAAATTATAAATAATTTTTATTTCTTTACTAAAAATGAAAAAAAATCGAAAAATTTAAAACAAATCCAAAAAATTTAAAAATTCAAAGAAAATGCAAGCAAATTAAAGTTACAACTAGGTGGACGGCCCGCACACCTGTGCGGACATTAATATAACTATACATTGCATAAAAATTGATATAAGTGTATAAATGTATTGTAACTCTCTTTCTCTTCTACGTAGGTATTCCGATTTTCCTTGTATATCTTTCTATTTTATTCATTTCGTTTTTTCTTGTTTGTTTTTCACACAATTCATTATGTGTCTTTTGTATCTCTCTTCCCGTTCTTTTTTTTTTCTATCATTGTACCTCTTTCGCTTGCTTTCTTTTTTTTTTCTCTCTTGATCAAATAATCTTAAAAGTTAAAATCTTCCAAACTTACATCCACTCTCTCACAATCATTTATATTCGCTCTTTTACCTCCATCTTTATTATAACCCTCAATATTTTACTTTCAAACTTTTTCTATTTTTTTTTGTTATAAAGTTTTTACCATTTTTTGTTAAATCTTCAAAACACCTCACATAATATTTATAAATAAATTCATGATATATCTCACTTACATTTAGTCTTTCACTTATTTCACTCTCATATTCATCATGATCATGACCCTCACTCCTCATCATCAACATCTCTCCCTCTCTCACCTATTTTCTTATTTAGCTTTTAAGGTAAAACTCACAATTGAACTCACAACAAGTTAATCAAATAAATTCATTATTAATTTCTCTCCAATTTTCACACTATCTTATCATATATTGATTCATTTGACCAAGACTTCCATTAGAAAATATTGTTTTTTTTGAATTTTTTTTTGAATTACTACAATACACACCTATTTTAAGTAAATCTGATTTAATGTATTTCAAAAAAAAAATGATTAACTTATTATATATCCTAAAAATATCTAAATTTTTAAATAATGTGATGTCATTAGACATAGATATATCAAAATAACATGTTTCTATTTGTATAAATTTGTTATAACTTTGTTATCATACATTTTTAAAAAATTAATATACCAAAAAAATACTTATCATTATTTTAAAATAATTTTATTTTAAATTTAATTTACGTTATATTTTGCATTTTCGACGTTAATAAATTTAGAACTTATCATTTATATTTATCTTCATTGCTAAATTTTTTATGTTGTATAAACACCTAAAACTAATTAGTTTACAATTATACTAATACGTAAAAAATATTTCGGTATAGAAATAAAAATGATGTAAGAAAAAATATAAAATCAGGAAAAATATAACAAAAGGTTTTATTATTATCCACTCATGTTTATTACATATGTCTATTTTTATTATTAAAAATTAACATGCCAATTTTATTATACTCAAAACTATATGAATAGAGTAACTTTAGTCTCATATTAATATAATTCAACTATTGTACCATTTTGTCATTGAAAATAATTGATTTTTTTTTAATTATATATTTGACTATTTTACATTTATTTGATATATTTTTAGAGTATATGTATACAGTGGGTATAATTATTATTAGGTTTATATTTATTATTGCATTCACTAAAAATATAACATATTTAAATATTTTTTGGATCATCATTTTTGTCGGAGAGACTAAAATTTACAAATATCCGTTTATATTTAAATAATTTATATAATGTAATATATGATAATAAATTGCTTCAATGAATAAATTATGTTAAATTGTTTATATTTAAAATGTTTGGTTGTTTAATTGGTAAGATAGTTAGATAATGTAATTCTATTATTAGTTTCCTTTTAAAATCTTTAATTAAGTAAATAAAAATTTAAATACCAACAACCAATCGAATTAAGAGAATTAATTCTAAACTTCACCTATGAATGACACCTAAGCAAAAATCACTAAAGTGACTTTTGATTTAATATATAGTAGGATTATCAGCTTAAAATTAAAATCGCACTCATAATGGGTGCAATAATTATTTTAAGCATTTTCATTTTAAATGAAACTTTTGGAAGATTTTTGATTTTTTAAACGAAAAATGAAATTTTATTTTGAATTTTAATTTCAAAATTAATTTTATAAAAAACTTTCTTTATTATTTCATTTTTTTGTAATTTAAAGGTATTTTTAAGGTTTTTAGAGACTTTTTTTTATTCAATAAGTACTCATTAAAACTAAATATGTTAGTGAATACATTGAAGTAATTCTATCACAGTGATAAAGTACCATGTCATTTGTCCCTATTAACACTGGTTCGAATGTAGGTGTCAACGCCTTTTTATTTTCATTTAACTCGGATGAGAGAATATTAAAAACAACTCTTTTCGTCAATGTAATGTAAAGCCCAGTAGCCCAGGCCCAGTAGCCCAGTGGTAAAGCCCCTACCATTATCCCTAGGTGCACGAGTCCAAATCCCTTGGAGTACGTTTTTACACTTTATTTTTAAAAACAAAAACACATAAAACGACGTCGTTTCATCATAACGCTCAAATTTAACGTCGACTTAATGTCGTCAAAAAAATCCGTTAACGGTGTGTCAAATTAACCAGTCAACAAAAGTATAGTGTTTTTTTGGCCAGCCCATATGTTCAGGTTTTTTTCGCAATTCGTTTAAAGTTCGTGTTTTTTTTTGCCGAATTCCCAAAGTATTTTGAATAAGTATTATATTTTTTGTATGTGTGCAAACACTTACACGCAAAAGAAATGTAGTTCTCCAGCTTTTTATTTCTGAAAAAATCTATAGGGTTACATGCGTAATTGTCTTCTATTATGAATTGGACTTTTGATGATTTTTCCATACTGCAAATTTTCTAGTTATTGACTAATTTTGATGCAAATTGCTCCTTTTTTATTAGTAAACATTAATTAGAGAAAAACCCTCTTAACATTAACTAAAAATAACACACCCACTTATTTAGTTTTCTTCCTCCAAAATTGAAATACACACAATATTGATCATCAATCTCTCACAAAATAATAATAACAATAATATTGTTACAAATGTAAAAATATAGTATAGAAACTATAGAGACAAGACTTTACACAAGTATGGATTCTTAACACTTCACAAAGTACTTTATTAGAAATCACTTGAACAACCGTTATAAGTCTTTTTCAATCAGGTTTATAAGATCACACACATCTGTGTATCTCGACTGATCAATTTCTACAAGAGATTCAAGCCAACACTTATGTTGCTTGATCTTTAAGGAACACGTTTAACCTAAAACTCTTTCTCTTGGCCGCTAGCTCTCTCAGTATTTCTTTTTCGAAAGCTCTAGCTCCAAATATATGTTTTGACTTGTTTATATATCTTTTTCTCGTCGAATATTCAGTTCTTTATTCGCTCATCCATATCTTTAACATATCTCACCACCTTCTATTGTTTCCTTAAAATACTCGAGCTTACAATCTCCCCCTTTTTGTCTGCATCGATCAATTCATTCATGACCCTGCAAAATCATCATACACACGCATTCAAGCACAACATATCTTGTGATTTAGTCAGATTAGTAACTCTGAAATGACCAGCCAAATTATAAGATAAACACCATCATCAGTTAAACATACAATAAGGTCTTAAAGCATTAGCAACCGAGAAGTTGTTCACACATAAGAGACAAATAGTTCAACTAGTGAAAATAAGAACCATGCATCCGATACCGAGAAAACATAATGACATAGACACACATACGATAAAGACACATGAACACACAAGATTTCCCCCTGAATGAGTGAACGATCCGACAAAAACATCACTCATCGATTGTTCTGTGTCCTCTTAGTCCACGGTTGTTGAGTGCAGACAAGTCAGCTGACATGCTCGAAATACTGATCCCCTCCCAAACAGATGCTTCATCTCTGGAAGAATTGAAGGTTCCTTCTGAAACAACAGAACATGGTAGAGAAGGTTCAGAAAGATGATCTTCTTCTCCTCATCAAACTGTTGAGCCATAGTAATAACTTGATCATACACCAGCTCACCAAAGTTGATAGAACAGCGATTGATGAGAGCATAGATCAAGCGGATGCTAAGTTTGATCATGGCATCAGTATCTGGCCCCTGAAGCCAGTTGCGCTCGGAGACATGGTAGATTATCTGGTAGGGAGCAATGATAGCAGTAAGAGTGAAACCAGACCAACCCGAGCAACAATACCCTGTGAGAGTCGAGATCACCAAGCTCAAATCAACATTCTCTCAGTCAAATGATCGCTCAAAATTTTGTGTGATCATCACGGTGTTGATCACATCAGGATCAAAGCGGTAGTGAGCTCCACGAACCACCACACCGCCAGCACGGTGACACAGATTCGAGATCATCTCCCCAACAATCCTAGGAAAGAAGACGCAAACATGCAAGACCGTATATGCCCATTGAACCCTATCTAGGAGCCTAAATACGTTAGCCAAGCCTGAGTCATGAGGAAGAAGCTTACCTTGAATCACAAACCCATGCATACACAAGTCTTCGTACGTGAGATGTGCTCTCTCGCTCTCAAAGCGCCTTAGGGGAGATCCGATGGGGAAACCATCGTTGGTGAAGATTGCACGGTTGATTTGGAGACGCTCCTCAAAGGTGAGGTAAGGCACATGAGCAGCGGGATTGATAACACGAATCACCATGAGAAATCAAAAAGAGAATCTTGCGAGAAAGAAGATTTGGAGAAAACAAAGAGAGAATGATAAGTAACTAGTTTCTCCTCAGTTAGTCCTCTAACAAAGTGATGCCTAATATCAACATGTTTAGTTCTAGAGGGTTGAACACAATTTTTAGATATATCTATAGCACTCTTATTATCACAATGCACAAGAAAGGAGTGTGTGTTGATACCATAATTATCAAGCATATGGTGCATCCAAAGGAGTTGAGTGCAGCAGCTACCAAGGGAAATGTACTCGGATTCCGCAGTCCACAAGGACACACAGTTTTGTTTCTTACTATACCAAGCTATTACGTTATTTACAAGAAAGAAACACGCTCCTGATGTGCTTATCCGATCATCTAAGCATTCCACATAATAGTTCATACCATAGTTGATAGTCCCCTTTACGTATTTGATAATACGTTTTACAGCTTGAAGATGCGTTTCTTTTGAATTAGACTGATACCTAGCACATAGTCCCTCACTTAAACACAAGTCCGGTCTACTTGCGGTGAGATACAACAGACTGCCAATCATTGCTCTGTATAATTTTTCATCTACTTTCACTTCATCCTCATCTTTTCTTAACTTCACTGTTGTGCTCATGGGTCTTCGTGCACTCTTACCTGTCTCTATGCCAAATCTTCTCACAATATTTCTAGCATATGTGCTTTGAGAAATGAAAATTCCGCATTCAATTTATTTAACTTGGAAGCCAAGGAAGTAGTCCAATTCTCCTACCATGCTCATTTTGAATTCCTTAGTCATGGTCTTCATAAACATGTCAACCAGAATTTGCTTTGAAGCTCCAAAGATGAAATCCTCGACATATATCTGGATTACCAGAATATCCAATCCTTGGTTTAGGATGAATAACGTCTTGTCCACCTTTCCTTCGAAGCCAGTAGTTGGGAGAAATTGTGTGAGACGTTCATACCATGCTCTTAGAGCCTGCTTGGGTCGATACAGTGCCCGTTTCAGTTTGTAGACATAGTTAGGATGTTTTTGGATCTTCAAATCCTTTTGGTTGAGCCACATATACTTCTTCTTGCAGCACTCCATTTAAGAATGCACTTTTAATATTCATCTGATAGAGCTTGATTGTTAGTTTGCACGCAATTCCAAACAGCAAACGTATGGATTTGAGAGAGCTACCGGAGGAAAAATCTCATCAAAGTCGATACCTTTAATCTGAGAGTAACCTTAAGCTACAAGTCTTGTTTGTTTCAAACAACATTACCTTCATCATCTATCCTATTTTTTTAATATCCACTTTGTCCCAACCACGTTAAGTCCTTCTGGTTATGGACACAAATCCCATACATCTAGTCGAGTAAACTTCTCAAGTTCCTCATGCATGGAGTTAGTCCATAACTCATCCTCGAGAGCTTCATTTAAAGTCTTTGGCTCGACGATTGATATGAAGCAAGCCAACTTTACCATGGCTTTGAAGTCGATCTGCTTATTTCTTGTCTTTCTTCCATCATTCAAGTTTCCAATTACGTCTTCCAAGGAATGGTTCTGATGTACTTGAGCAGGGGCTGATTCCCCTGCTTTAGTTTTTTTAGTTGCAAGAAGATCATCTTCATCACTGACATCCTCCACTTTAGACTCGTTGCTTGGAGATGTATTTTCCTCATGTTGTGGGACCACAGATTCAAGTAGTAGACTCTGATTGCCATCAAGCACAACGTTCACAGCATCTCCCAAGTAGTAAGTTCTCTTTGTTGTATACTATGTAAGCCATGCTGTTAATTGAGTAACCAAGAAATATTCCTTCATTGCTTATTGAATCAAATTTACCAAGCTGATCCATCTCATTCAAGATGTAGCATATGCAGCCAAACACATGAAAATAGCTCAGATTTGGAGGTTTTCCTTTCCAGATTTCATAGGGGGTCATCTTGTTTTCGGGTCGCACATACACAAAATTAATGGTATAACAAGCAGTATTGACAGCTTCAGCCCAAAATCTAGTGGGCACATTGTTCCCATGCATCATGGCTCTGGCCATCTCTTGCATGGTTCAATTTTTCCTTTCTACCACACCATTTTGTTGTGGTGTGTATGGAGCTGAATACTGATGTTTGATTCCATGTTCCTGGAAAAATTTATCAAATGCTGCACTTTGAAATTTTCCTCCGTGATCACTTCTAATCTGTTGTATCCCTTCCTTCTTTGACTTCAGTTGTAAAGCCAGAATCTTAAAGCCATTGAGAGCATTAGATTTTGTACGCAGAAACATCACCCATGTGTATCTGGAGAAGTCATCAACCAGTACAAGGATGTATGTTTTACCTGTGATGTACAAGGACTTTCTTGGTTATAATGTCAGTAACTGCTTACGTTGTACTTTCACTTGTTTCCCTTTACAGGAAATGTCACACACAAGATCAGTTGATGTTTCCAGTTTTGGAACTCCTCTTACCACTCTGCTATTCACAATTCGGCTCAAACCATGTGTTCTCATGTAACCCAATTTCTTGTGCCAGATGCCGAGCTGAGATTTGACAGTGATCATGCATTGATTTTCTGCGTTCTACATTTAGCAGTTGTTTCCTGATTTGACTCTTTGGAGTCTCACATTTCCACGCTCATCCAAGGCTTTGCAATCGATCTTTGTAAAGATCACATTGAGTCCTTCATCACACAGTTGACTGATGCTGATCAAGTTAGCCTTCAGGCATTCGACAAGATACACATTTAGCAGATGTGGTTGTTATGCGTTTTATGTGTGACCAACTCCTTGTATGTTTCCTTGCTTACCATCACCAAAAGTCACTCTGCCTCCTTTTATAAGAGATATCTCGGCCATGATATCTTTATTCCTAGTCATATGTGGAGAGCAACCACTATCAAAATACCAATCATCTGATTTTTCTCGTTCGACGCGTGCACATTCCTTTTTATTGTCTGGATGTGAACCCTTTTCCCGGTTACTTGTGAGTTGAGTAAATATCACTCCCAGGTATCCAGACTTTCTGAATTCGTGCTTTTCTAGATAGTACTTCCCAGCTTTCCAAGCTCGTAAGACTTTCCAATTCCATTAGTTGTATTTTTCCTTTCTGTGACCTGATTTTCCACATACCCGACACAGCTTGCTCCTTGATTTATTTCTCGATATGTAAGTGTTTCTATGTAGATCCTTACCGTCTTCCTTGATCCTTCTAGAGATTCAGCAATCTACGATTGTTCCATCTTTAGGTCATTAATCTGTGCTTTCAGAACTGCTTTGTCCTTTAGAAGTCTGAAGTTCTCTTTGCCAAGATGTGACAAATCGTCATGTTTTTTTTGATGCTCGTCCTTCTCCGGTTTGGTGCTGTAAGTGTTACATTCTTCCATGTCTTGCTTATTCGAGTCTTTCCGAGGTTCTCAATCTGTATTAGATCTTCACGTATCGTGCAGAGGTTGACCGTACTCTGATACCAGTTGTAGAGACAATAATTTACACAAGCATGGAATATTCGAACACTTCAAAATGTACTATTATTAGAAATCACTTGAACAACCTTTACAAGTCTTATTCAATCATGTCTATGAGATCACACACATCCGTGTATCTCAACTAATCAATTTCTACAAAAGACTCAAACCAACACTTATGTTGCTTGATCTTTAAGGTACACTTTTAACCTAAAACTCTTTCTCTTGGCCGCTAGCTCTCTCTGTATTTCGTTTTGAAAGCCCTAGCTCCAACTCTAGGTTCAGACTTCTTTATATATCTTTGTCTTGTCTGTTCTTTTATTTGCTTCTCTATATCTTCAACGTATCTCACTAGCTTCTATTGTGTCCTTAATACACTCGAGCTTACAAAAATGGATAAATAAACGAGAAAATATACAGTTAGTAGATTTAACGTCGTTCACTAAATCGGCTGTCAAGAACAAAAAAAAACCATTTTTTCCAAAAATAAAATTTAAGGTTAAAGTTATAATTTCAGACGAAAAACACATGATATATATAAAATATCAAAATGTGAAGATCCTAACACTAATGGACTCAAGGGTCATAGTCCAGTTAAAGTGACTAAACTGAATATCACATTGGATACAAACATTATATATTCCTTCCGTTTTATTTTAGTTGTCATTTTAGGTTTTTGCACATAGATTAAGAAAAAACATTTAATTTTATATATTTCCAAAATAAAACACAATTACCTATACACATAACCACATTTCAACTAATAAAAAAAATAGAAAAGTATATAAAACTAATAAATTCTACATCAAAACTATAAAACAACATTTATTTTGAAACGGATAATCTTCTCAACAATAACATGTAAACTGAAACGGAGGGAGTACTATTTATGTCGAGTCATATAACAGATTCAAAAGCATATCAACAATAATAACAAAAAAAAATAACAGTTAACAGAGTATATTGTTTTGAGCAAAAAAATAAATAAACAAAGTATATTTTGTTCTTGTAACATGTGCTTGTTTATTGCGAAAAGTAGAAACAAAGAACATTGTGCATGTATTTTACCTTTGAGCTTGGGTTATTTTTCTTCACTTAGTACAGTTTGTGTAACTGTTTAATTTTAAATGATACATAAACACGTGAGAAGGACGAGACAACACAGAGATGACTCTGATCTCCCGCAGTACAAGATGCTTCACATCTTGGACCTTACTTGCTGAACAAGTTCCCTTCTCAAGATCTTACCAGCAGCAGATTTTGGAACACTGCTAATGAAACTCACTCTCCTTAATCTTTTGTAAGGAGCCACCTAATACAAGCAAAAAAATGATTAAGACAAACACACTGACACAGAGTGATTCAGAAGACTTGAGTCATAAATTATCAAACCTGTTTAGCAATGAACTTTTGAATATCTTCTTCTGTTATTGAGCTACTAGGTGAACGTACAACAAATGCTATTGGAACTTCACCTGCTTCTTCATCAGGCAACCTGCAACATATATGCACACATGTTAATGCTTTCGAACAAAAGATTATCGAGATGTGAATAAATGACTCACGGGATAGCAACAGCATCTAGTATCTCGGGATGAGATACAAGTAGACCTTCTAATTCAGCTGGAGCAACCTGGAAGCCTTTGTATTTGATAAGTTCTTTGAGTCGATCAACTACGAAAAGGTTACCATCCTCGTTGAAGTATCCAAGATCTCCTGTATGTACCCAACCTTCCTTATCTATTATTTCTTTAGTAGCCTGAGGGTTATTGAAATAACCTGAAAAGAGATCGAACTTGGTTCACACAAAGCAAAGAGTCGTGTTCTAAAGGTCAGTTTAGGTGGTGCCAAGGCATTCACTGCTCCTAGCGATTTCTTGAAAAACACTAACCTTTCATCATGTTAGGGCCTCGAACCCATATCTCCCCTTGTTGATTAGGAGGTTGGGGCTTTCCAGATTCTACCCTCACTATCTGAGCTTCAACACCTGGGGCAAGCATTCCAGCTGAACCAGAGTTCCTTTTCCCAAGCCTCGGGTCCTCCACAGAGACAATCCCACATGTTTCAGTCATTCCATAACCCTAAATAAACCACAAAACACCTGTTATGCATCACTCAAACAATCATCCATGACAAGGGATTCAATAAGAATGACCTCGATCTGTACAGCTGATGATAAATCAGTAGCAGTATGTTGTAGGAACAAAATGCTACAAAAGCTATATATTCTCATTAAATTTTTTTAATAAAATGATTGGTAAAGCATTAACAATCCAATTTTAAAATTATCAACTTTGATATATAATAAATTTATTTTCAAATAATATATATCAATAATATATTATTAATTAAAAGTAATGAATCTTATTTAATTATATAAACTAAATTATATTTTTAGTGTGAAATATTATTATTTTAAAAAATAAATGTAAAATTATTTTAAAAATATATTTTGGGACATAAAAATAATTTTGATATTATTAAATAAAATACATTAGTTATAAATAAATTATCATTATTTATTTATTGGTAAAGAAGTAAATGATTCATAAATAATATTATCATAAAAATTAATATATGATATACAATTTATTTATTTCTAAATAATACAGATATGTTTGTATTTATAACATATAGAAATATCTATTATGTTATTTTTTGTTATTAAAAATAATGAAGGATATGTGTAATAATATAAACATAATTTTATATTATTAAATAAAAATATATTAATTATATGTAATTATTTATAAAAAAAATTATATATCCTAAGTGAAAATGCTCTACTAAAAGCTTTATATGAGAGTATTGAACCAAAAGCATTTGGAAAATATTAGTATCTTGTAAATGTTTTTCTAAATATTTTTCTTCTAAATGTTGATTGGATAGTAAGAAGCATAAAACTTATGCTAATGCTCCGCCAATCTAGCCCTATGCTAACTAGGCCGGCAGTTATTAATCGAATCAAACTTGTCGAACCAAACCAAATCCCTTATATATTATTTGCGAAGTGATTTTGACATGTGTCATCACTACAATTAATTTCACATAAATGATGATATGTTCATTTACAATGATGACATGGTTTGGAGTTAACTGTGATATGTAGATTTAATGTTAATATATATTTTTGGTAAGTTTTTAAAATATGGTAATAACTCATAAATTATCCTTAACATAATAAAAAATAATATAATAATAGAAATAGAAATATAACAATATTTAAAAATTTTGAATTTTATAATTATGTAGTTTTTATTAATAACTTTTTTTTCAAAATTTTATGCGGGTTTTTAAAAAATTATAATTTACTAATCCAAATACCGTTAGTTTTATTTATAACATCTATAAATTTAGAGATATTATTTAATTTTATATTTTATTACTTATATATCTAACAAAATTTTCTCTTAATTATATAGAATCTGATTTAACATATTTTAACCAAAAGAAAAAGATAAAAAAAATTTCCAAAATTTTAACTTTAAATATATACAAGTATATTATTAAATATAGATTTAATTAAAATTGTTTTATTTTATCTTACTTTTAATATATAATGAACATAAATTAATAATGTAACAAAATAATAAATTTAAAATTAACTCAATTTTATTTTTAAATATAATTTTATTTTTAAAATTTTTATTTTTACACATGGTGCAGGAAAACACCTAGTTAACTAGAAATAAACCGCAAGAACGGAAACATTATTTTTAAACAACCAGTTTAAACCAAAGTTTAAAACTTCGATACAAAATTATGAAGCTGAACTAACCGAGAACCGAGCTGAACTAACCGAGAACCGAACCGAACTTTTTCGGTTCAATTTAGTGTGTTCGGCCAAAGTGAACTAAGTTCCGAAATAACCGACCAAGAAAACCCTGACGAATACAACAGTGCAGCTAGTTTATTTTACCTGCATGAGGACAACATTAGGGATGTTTCTTCCACACTCTTCCATCAAATCCTTCCCAAGAGGAGCAGCTCCTGACCCAATATACTTAAGCGAAGAAAGATCATACTTTTTCACAACACTCTGCTTAGCAAGAGCAAGAAACACAGGAGGAACAACCCAAAGCCAAGTGACTCTATACTTCTCAATATTTTTAAGCAGCAACTCAAGCTCAAACCTTGCCAGTGAGACCAAAACACTCCCTTTCTGAAGCTGAGAGTAAGCAATCACAGCAAGACCAAACCCATGAAACATGGGAAGAAAACACAAGAACACGCCGTGATACTCTCCCATAAGCTCTTGATCCATCGTCACCATCAGAGACGCTGCTATAAAATTTCCATGAGTCAATTCAACTCCTTTGCTTACACCCGTGGTCCCCGATGAATACAACAGTGCAGCCGTGTCAGATTGCTTGACGTCCACGTAAGGGAGATCTGAAACTTTGTCGGAAAGCTCCATGACCTTCTTGAAAGTGATGATATTTGGACTCTGTGCTGACTCGTTAGATCCAAGGAGCACTAAAGGGAGGTTAAAGCCTTTGACTTTATCGAGTAATGGTTCAACGGTGATGATGAGTTTAGGGTTAGAGTCTTTGATCTGCTTGGAGACCTCGTTGGTGGTGTAGAGAGGATTCGCGGTGGTGAAAACGGCTCCGATGGCGGAGACGGCGAGGAAACAGAGAGGGAACTGGTGAGAGTTCGGAGCGAAGATGAGAACAACGTCGTTTTGACGGATACCCAGTTTGAGGAACCCGTGTGCGAGTCTAGCAACGGAGGATTTGAGGTCGGAGAAGGTCAAGGAGTCGCCGGTGTCTGAGTCTATGATGGCTAGTTTTGAAGGGTAAGAGGAGGAGTTGCGGAAGAGGAAAGAGACTAAGGAGGTGTTGGGGTCTTTGGGGAGGACGAGTGTTGGACGGAGTGATCGGTAAATGCCGTCTTTGCCGTATCCGGATTTCTCCATTTTGCAGATTGATCGATGATGAAGAAGACGATGATGTTTTGAACTTTATAGGGACTTGGGAGTTGTTTACGTCCTATGCAAAATAGTACATGTCTAATAGTACAAAGTGATGGCACTGATGGAGACTAGTCTAAACAAAACCTAACTACTCTTGTCCCAAGTTCATATTCTGACTCGTCCACGTAAGCATCGAATTAGTGAAAAATGTTGTTTACGTCCTATGCAAGATAGTACATCCTATGCAAAATAGTACATGCATGTCTAATAATATAAAGTGATGGGAACTTTTGACTAAATAAAACCTAACTGTTAGATGTTGTCTCGGTAGAGCAGTTGGCAGTAAGGATTGCTACGAAAAGTTTCCTCATTCCGCAGTTAAGTATTTGAGATTATGGGACTCGATCATCGTCCGGTCCTAATAAACAATCTTTCTAAACTAGTGAGAAAGAGGAAAAATTTTAAATTTGATAAAAGATGATTGGATAACGAGGAACTAAGGCAAGTTATACTAGGGGGGTGGAAATCTCCAGATCTCCTAGCAGATGTAAGCATAATATAGCATATTTCGAGTTGCCACAGAGCATTGAGTGACTGGAGGAGACATCATAATTTGAATTCAGAAAAATTGTGGAACAACTTAAAATTAAGGTGGATGAGTTATATTTCAATGATAATGCCATGACAAAGGAAATAGTGGCCGCTTTAAAGGAATTATCCGATGCTCGTAAGGCTGAGTAGATGTTCTGGAAACAAAAATATTGTATATTTTGGTTAAGAGAAGGAGACAGAAATACAATTTTTTTTCACGCTCTCACAAAACAGAGAAGAGTAAGGAATAGGATCACACAGCTACTGGACGCTGATGGTAATGTTGTACAAGATGAGGAGGGACTGGTAGCCATTGTTACTAGTTATTTTCGACATATTTTATGTCATATAATCCTGAAGATATTGAGGAAGCACTATCTGAGGTATCTACAACGATAACTGAATCGATTAATGCGGAACTTACAGCTCCGATCACTCAATGAGAGGTTAAACTTGCAGTATTTGCTATGCACCCAGAGAAGGCTCCAGGACCAGATGGGATGACAGCTCTATTTTATCATAAATTTTGGGATGTAGTTAAGGATGATTTAACTCATATGGTTAATCAATTCATATTTGATGGATCTATGACAAAGGGATTAAATGACACAAATTTTTGTCTTATACCTAATATAGATAAGCCGACAGAGATGGGACAGTTCCGACACATTATGTAATTTCAGTTATAAGATAATCTCTAAGGTCTTATGCCAGAGATTAAAAAAGGTTCTACCCGACCGAATATATAAAACCAGCCAGCCTTTGTTGCTGGAAGACATATATCTGATAACATTATGATTGCACAAGAAATATTTCATGCTCTGAGAACTAAGCTAAGTGGATGAAATAAAATGATGGCCATTAAAACATACATGAGTAAATCATATGATATGATGGAGTGGCCGTTCATTGAGGTAGTTATGCGGAAGATGGGATTCTCAGAAACTTGGATAAATTGGATAATGCATTGCATTACATCTGTTAAGTACAAGGTTCTTATGAACGGTCAACCAAGAGGAAATATTGTTCCAGAGAGGTGTCTACGTCAAGGAGATCCTTTGTCTCCTTTCATTTTTTATTATATGCAAGGAAGCGCTCGTTAGCCTTATTAATCAAGCGAAGAGCCAGGGAAAGATAACAGCGATGCGGGCAACACGCGCGTGTCCATCGGTATTTCACCTTCTTTTTGCTGATGATAGCCTTTTCTTTTGTAAGGCGGAGCCCCGTGAATGTGAAGAAGTGATTAAAGTGGTCAGAAAATATGGAAAAGCCTCAGGACAATGCATAAATTTTGACAAATCCTCTCTGCTCTTTGGCAATAGAATTGGTGCAGATATGAGACAACATATTAAAGATACGCTAAGGATCCAGAATGAAGGTGGTATGGGAACATACTTAGAAATACTGAAGATATTAGCGGTTGAAAATGCAAACTTTTTGCATTCCTTAATGATAAGCTAAGAAATAGAGTAAACGGGTGGACATGTAGGTGGCTATCAAAAGGAGGGAAGGAAGCCCTGATCAAATCTATTTTGTTAGCTTTTCCAACATATGTGATGTCATGATTTTTGCTTCCATTGGATATTTTTGAAAACCTCTCTAGTGCCATTGCACAGTTCTGGTGGAGTTCAATCCGCCAAAGAGGGGAAGATATTTGGGCAAAATGGGAGAAAGTCTGTCTACCAAGAGAAGAGGGAGGGATTGGTTTCCGTATGATTCATGAGTTCAATTTAGCCTTATTAGCAAAGCAACTATGGTGATTAACCCAATTCCCTGACTCTTAAGTGGTTCGAGTTTTGAGGGGGAGCTACTATAGAACGAGTTCGCCTTTGCGAATAATTCCTCTTAATAGTCCATCCTATGTATGGACTTGCATCTAAGCGGCTCAAAATCTCCTCCTATTAGGAACCAGACAGAAAAACCATTCTTGGATTCCGACATTACCAGATAGGCCAGCCTTTTCTACAGCTTCAGTATTGCATCCGAATATGAGAGTGAGTGATCTGATCAACCAAGAAACGAAGGAATGGGATATGGCTCTCCTGGAAAATTATGTGGCTCCAGATAATATACATCTCGTAAGGAGTATGGCTATAAGCTCAACACTTAGCCGCAACACTTTCTGGAGCTACACTAAGAATGGGTAGTAATACACTGTTAAACCTGGATACTGGGTGGCTAGGAACCTATTGAACATTGAGGAAGAGATAGAGCTATGTGAGCCAAGTATAACTAAGCTCCAAGCCTTTGCTTGGAAATTGCAAGCACCACAGAAGATACACCAAATTTTGTGGCAACTGGTATCTGGTCATGTGGCTGTTACGAAAAACTTAAATCATAGTAATATGAGATGTGATAATTATTGCCCAAGATGTGGGGAGCCACTGGAATTAGTTTCACATGCCATATTTGAGTGTCCTCCAGCTTTGCAAGTTTAGTCACTATCAGCAACACCTTCCGGTGCCAATATATTCCCTAAAGGAAGCATTTTTGCACATATGGATTACCTATTTTGGAGGAAGAACAACATTGTTGCGCCTGACTTAGATAGGGACCCTTACCCCTGGATCATCTGGTACATTTGGAAAGTTAGAAATGATAAATTATTCAGAGGGATTGACAGAGATTCTTTTGAATTAGTCTGATACGCAGAGAGCGAGTGCCAAGCTTGGTTTGATGAAAACAAGATGGTTTCCATTGTTCCACAATTGCAAAGCAGCGACGAAATTCAGGCCATAAGCCTGCAAAATATTTGTTTGGTGGATGGTTCATGGACCTCCACAGATCAGTTTAGTGGATGTGAATGGGTTTGCCTGGACAATCTTGGAAAGGTTCAACTTATGGGAATGATAAACTTAAGGAGGAGAGAGACTGCGTTGCACTCGGAACTAGAAGCACTGCGATGGGTAATGGAGAACATGCTTCAACATTCGTCATGTCAGCGCTTTGGAATGGACTGCAAGGATCTGGTCGCGATGCTAAAGACCCATGAGCTTGGTCGAATTTTGCAACAGAATTAGAGCTACTAAAGACACTGCTCATATGCTTCCCAGATTTTGAGATTTTCCATATTCCAAGAGCTCAAAACGAAATTTCGGACTCCTTCTCCAAGAATGCAAGATCTTTTCATAGAGAACTTTGTTATGTTGGTTATTCTATTTCTGTCTGGTTGTCCAACCCACCTCAAGTTTGAGTAATAGAATATCCGTTTGATGTCAAAAAAATAAAATAAAATAAAACCTAACTACTCTTGTCTCAGCCTCCCAAGTCCCTGGAAAGTGATGGAGACTTGTGACTAAATAAAATCTTACTAGTCTGGTCTCAGGCTCTCAGCCTCCCAAGTACCCATCATGTAAACAAGTTTTTTTCCTTTTTTGGGCTAAATTTTTTATTAGGGTTGAGAGTTTATAAATGAATAAAAAATCAAAATCAGAAGCTGGATAAACGCAGAGTTAGGATCTGACTGGTTTTCTCACTACTATCCGCAAACATAGTTTTTACGGTTGATAGACAGTGGTTTTCGGTTTTTGCAATAATCACATAAACACTATAAATCGCTCTAAACCACTCCTTTCATTTCCAAAAATGATTGATTTGTAATTGGTACGGAACGACTTACCTAAAGTTAACTTCTCACTTTCCAAATCAGTTTACTGAAGGAACTGACCCTAAGCATAGCTATCTCTCAAATACAAATGCCAAGAAAGAGATTCCTGAGAACCTCTTAAAATTAAAAGCTGGTTCCCACTAGAGTTTACGGTTGCGGATGGTTGCGATTGGATAAATAAATATAAACAGATTTTTCAAAAAATATTCTAAATTATATAAACGGTGAATTTGATGAATAATCATAAAAGACCGGTCCCAAACCGGACCAGGTAGCTACGTAGAGACCGGTCCCGTTCAGGTTGGGTCTCTACGTAGCGACCGGTCTGATATCAAGCCAAAGTCGCTATGCAGTGACCGGACCGTCCCGAATATCGATCAAATGATTAAAAATCAGTACGACATGAACACGTGCATTCTCGTGTACTCTTTAATACTACCTCCCGCAGGCCACGGCTGAACTACCTATCACTCCTTATCGATCGGAGATCGTTCAAACTTTACGATAAAAATTGCAGGAAAAAAAAACCGTAATAAACGTTTCGAGACGAAAGCTGGTCTAAAAAGGTCTAAAATACGATTAGGAGCCCACTTACGATTATTTAAGAAATAGTCCATAAATACTATGGCAGTTTATTACTCCACAAGAAAAGATAATGTCAAATTTCCGTAGATAAATGTCAAGTTTCCGCAGATAATCATGAAGATCGGGAAAATGGAATATCTCCATTTTTGGGCTATGACGGCTTAAGAGGAAAGCATAAACCGACCTTGGAGGCAGTATATAAAGGGTCCTAGGCGAGAGG